AGCCTGGCACACCACAAACACCTCTGCCGGCCGTGGCAGCCGCTGTAGTGAGCATGTTACTTCTGAAGGACGCTCATTACTTGATTGCTCCTTAGGGGTAAGCAGTGCTCACTCATAGACATGTAGTGAGCCAGGAGTTTTCTGTGGGGGTGCAAGTCAGACAAAGGAGGATGAGAGCAGAGAGGAGATGAACTTAGAAGTCAGGTCATGCAGTTGAACTTGCTTTCCCAATGGTGATCAGAGAGCGGTGTTGAGTTCCCGGGTAGCCAGTGGAAAAAGAGAAACACCATTGCCTGAAGTTGTATCTGTAAGATGGATGTGTATCCCGGTGTCATGTGCCTGGGGAATCAAATCACAGTGCTAGTTCTCAAAAAGAGGAGAGCGCAGGCGGAACCCCAAAGCGTTTGCATTTAAGATACTGTTCTGGGTGTTGTGTCCACATGCTGTGTGTGCTCAAGATGGATCCTGCTGCTGTGTGCAGCTAGGCCTGATCATCAGGCTAAACATGGATTCACATTGTAATCTGTCTAGCTCTCCTTGTTTTTGAGACAGGATTTCTCTGTGTAGCCTTGGCTGCCCTGGAACTAGCTCTACAGACCAGGTTGGCCTCAAACTCAGAGATCCACCTGTCTCTACCTCCTTGTGCTGGGATTAAAGGCGTGCACCACCACTGCCTGGTTCTGTCTAGCTTTCTTAATGCTCTCTCCATGGTATGACTTAGGTCCTAGTGAGCTCCTTGGCTCTGGACCTGCACTGGTTTTTCTGATTCAATTTTCAGGAAACCTCCAACATAGAAGCTGAAGTAAGGCTGAGATGGTTGAAGAGAAGCTGAGGAGGAAGCAGTCACTGGCTCCCTTGACTTAGCAAATTATTTGGTGATGGAGTAGATGGCAGTTCTTAACGAGATGACCTCCTGACAGCAAACCCGCCTGTAGCCACCGCCTCTTACGCAGCCCCTCCTCAGTGCTGAGCCCGGGCAAGCTGAGGAGGCCTTGCAGATGCATTGATCGCACAGAGCGAGGAGCTTGCGTTGGACGTGCCACTGACCCTCTCCCTAGTCTGTCTCTGTACAGTAGGGTGGGCTTCTAGCCTGGCCACCGCTGGTCACGAGCATCCTCTGTGTGTGTATGCCTTCCTAGCTCAGGAAGGTCTTTTGTGTGTGAAGGAGCAGATGGTTAAGTGTGCAGTCACTGCAGAGGAAGATAGACACCGTCCTTGGCGGTACGGGAGTTTTCAGAGGACACACTGAGAGAACAATGCACATCGAAGCTGTAGCGAGCAGCACCAGGCCCCATTTATCCCACGGTCACGCGGCACAGTCTAGCCTGACAGCCTGATGGAGTGTGTACAGAACTGTATGCCTCGTGTACAGCATCCTACACGTGGAAGAGTGGTTAAGACAAGGTGGGCGACAAGCTTCTGTCAACAGAGGCTGGCGTCTCTACCAGCTGCAGGACTGAAATGGAAGGATTGTGGGTGCTTGGAGGATTTTAGAGTATCCATTCTTTGGGGGATGTCGTGTAGAGATGTTTTTAAATTTTTATTTTCATACCATTATTTTTGTTGGTTTCTTAAGACAGGGTTTCTCTGTGTAGCCCTGGCTGTCCTGAAACTCACTCTGTAAACCAGGCTGGCCTTGAACTCAGAGATCCACTTGCCTCTGCCTCCTGAGTGCTGGGATTAAAGACATGCACCGTCACTGCCTGTCTAAAAATTTGTTTTTATTTTAAATTTATGTGTATCTGTGTGTCTCTGTGTGTGTATGCATACATATGACATACAGAGGCCAGAAAGCATCAGATCCTTTGAAAGTGAAATTACAGGCAGTTGTGAGCTGCTGGTGTGGCTGCTGGCAGCGAAACTCAGGTCGTCTGGAAGAGCAGCCAGTGTTCTCAGCTGTTGCGCCCTCTCCAGCTGTGTGAAGAAGTCTTCAGATTTAAATCTTGCCCTAGTTTTGTTGTTGGTGGTGTGTGTGTGTGTGTGTGTGTGTGTGTGTGTGTGTGTGTGTGTGTGTGTACCTGGCTATGTGTGCACATACATTCTCCAGAGCGGCTGTGCTAATAACCTAAGTAGGAATTTGTGTTGCTCTTAGCCTGGAATCTCTTGCAGTAACACGTTACTTATCATGAGATTCAGCTCCCTCTCTCCAGGAGACTGGAGCTGTCCTCTGAGGAGGTGTACTTCTTGTGTGAGGGGAGATGGAGTCACTGGCCTTCCTCTGTCCCACTGGCTTGCTTCAGGGGCTTTAGTTGTACCTGAGCTGAGCCCAGAGTCCACCACCTGGGCTTTGTGCAGTAGGACAATCCCACCAGGCTTCAGGAGCCCCTGGCCTCTGCTCTCAGTGCCCTGGTGAGGGTGGCCAGTGGACGGCCTCTCAGTCACAAGCTCCCTAGTGGCAGCGGGACACTGCTACTCTCTTCTCACCAGAGTCCCTGCTAATGAACGCTGCCCTTTTCTAGCCTCCACTAGAAGCGGCTAGTTCAGGGTTAGGGATGTAGCTCAGCAGTAGAGCACTTCTTAAGATGTGCAAGGCCCTGGGTATGATGCCCAGTACCACAAAATAAACAGCAATCAAAATGGCTACTCCAAAGGAGAATTCTTTTTCCAACCACTGCTCCTGTGGCTCAGGGCCACCTTCTCTCATCCACGTTTCTTCTTTCACTGCCATTCTTGAGGGTTTCCTCCCATCACATCCTGGATGCCATGTAGAACGCTGAAGCCTTGGCTAGGCTCTTCCAGATGTTCCCAGCTGCTTCCTGAGACCCTGAGGCTGCAAGTCTGCTGTAACAGGAAGTGGGGTGGTCTAGGTCCCTGTTCCTACTGGTTGGGATCTTAATTGGGACTGAGGTATTTATCATAAGAGCAGAGGGTACTAGAAATGGAGAATAGCATCAACTGCCCTGAGGCTTTTTAAGAACAGGTGCCACCAATAAAATAGCCAAAACAGGAACTCTGGACACACCACTCTATCTTCATTCTGGACACCACCCCTTTCATCTTTCCATCATTTAGATGTTGGGACAGCCCTGAGAACTTAACTTATTACAAGGTGTCTTAGGAAAAGCACTCAGAATTCCAAGTAGTGGACTTAAAACAATTTGTTTTATGAGACAGACTATATTTTTATGCTTTTCACTTACTAACAGAGTTGCTATTAATAATGAATTCCCATAAATAAACAATAAACTCATTAATAAGTTAAACCATTCCTGTAAGGCATTAGGTCGTCCCTGGCATAGAGCAGATCTCCAGTGAGCGGCCGCTGCTGTTGTTAATACTGCAGCAGCGTTTCCAACGGGAAGCGTCACAGTGCTTGTTATGCATACATGTAAATTGTCCATTTCACAACACAGTGAAGGCTGGCTTGATTCTAGAGAGACGGAGGCATGGTTTATTATTGCTAGAACGTGCAGGAATGTTGGAATAATAATCTTGGTTTCTTGAAAGTTCGAAACTGCCCCATACCACACTAGTTTTCACTTTGGTTAGGTGTTAAGGCCAATGGTCCCGAGCAGGAAACAGTAAGTAAGGCCAGTGAGATGCAGTGTCTGAGTGCAAGTGGAACTGAAATATTATTTGCTCTCTCATTCATTCATTCATTCATTCATTCAATAAGTAAATATTTATTGAGCACATATCATGCCTAGGATGCTGCACTGTCCAGAAATGGAGAAGGTCACCTTGAGGTGGGTGTACTACAAAGATTCCCCACACGGAACCTGTTTATAAGGAAGGGTTTATAAATAGGAAGAAACCAGAGAGCTGTCTGTCCAGGCTGCAGCAGCAAAGGCCGTTGTCGAACTGTGGCAAGGTGTCCTGCGGCCACAGCAAGGAAATCGTTCGTCTTCTAAACCTTCAGGAACATTCCAAAAACCAAACCATTCAGTCCTTTCGGTCCTGGATAAGTGACTCTGTCTGAGCTCTGTCAGTGACCAGTTGCTGATACAGTGTGCTCTTCAGAGTGTGTGGATAAAGCTGCTCCCTCCAGGGGCTGCCTCTGAGTGCACCTTGGCCAGCTTGCCCTCATTTGCCAGGATCCTGCTCAGAGAGGCCTGGGCTGCTGGGATCCAAGCTGCGCGTGCATTAGTAGACATGGCTCCTGTCCTCAAGGACACGAGCCAGCAGAGGTCAACAGCTGGGGCAGCGCGAGTGGCCGGGTGACCTGTAATTACAGGAGATGGGGTACTGCTCGGGCCACCCGAAAATCGGGAGCGTCTGCCTGTAGCAGCTATGTAGGGTGAGTACTGAGTACTGGGCTTCGCGTTCCCATGTTCCTCTGCGCTTTTGGCAGGATGTTTTTAAGTTGGGTTCCCCCCTCCACTCTCCCCCCACTCCCCCCCCCCCATCCCCAACCTCGTGCTGGCTTGCTTTTGTAAAAGTTAAATTTTAATTCTAAAACCGGAGCAGACCTTCCCATACCGGGCCCTTCCCTGCTCCGGTCACCCAGATTTTTCCATCCTGGGTTGCCGAAGGAAAAAGGCAAGTTGATCTCTCTAGACTGTGCTGAAGAGACGTTCGAGTTCTTGGTTGAAAGGATCCGAGTCTCTTGACTTTAAATTGCATCTTTGTTTCCATATCCTGCGTCTTTTCTGCAGTAACTGTTGTTGTCTCTCTCCCAGCAAATGTTTGTTTGGATAGGGTATTTAAAGATTCAGAGGAATTTAATGAGATATGAGCAATTCATCTTGGTTAAAGGGAAGATTCATTATCTCCAAATTATATAGATTCGCTGTTAAGTTGCAGATACTTTCAGGCAGCTTTTTCATTATCTTCCTATCAGTTTTTTTTTTTCCCTTTTCCTGTAGAGTGATTTAGCAGTTTATTTCCCCTGATAAGCAACGCTCTTTTAATTTACCAAAATACATTGTATGAAACATACTTTGATAAGAATCTGTGTCGACCAGAAAACTTTCCATTGGTCCTGGGGGAGGGGTCCGAGCGTGTCTTAACTCCCGCTGTGCTTCAAAGTATTTTCAAAGTATGTTGATTTCTCATTTCAGCCACAATCACAAGTTCGTCGGAAAATGATGACCGGAGCGGCTCCAGTTTGGAATGGAGTAGGGATGGGAGCCTAAGGTTGGGGGTTCAGAAGGGACTGCTTCATGACCGGAGGGCGGATAACTGCTCCCCAGTGGCAGAAGAGGAGACCACTGGGTCAGCGGAGAACGAGCAGCCCAAGGCGGAACCCTCAGCTGGAGATGGTCCGGTCCCTTATTCTCAGAGCTCCAGCTCGCTAATAATGCCACGGCCCAACTCAGTTGCAGGTAAGGCCACAGCTCTCCCCCGGGGCTCATCTCTCCAAGCCTCGGGCTTCTGGGTTCCCTTTATTTACGCCCCCGAATTAATCCAGACACAAGCCAGTGGTGTGATCGGTTCCTTAGGCCTCAGTTTTCCTGTTGCACACACACACAGGGCCTTTTAGTGGTCCCTTTACTCTGAATCTCTGTGTAGGTGAGGTGGAAAAGCTTAGAAACTCTGCCCTTGGGGTGGCTTTTGTGGAGAGTGAAGCTGACGCCAGCTCAGAGGATTTGCTAATTCGACTCTGAAACTTGGTTTTATGTGGTTGAGGGCCATCTTAGCCGGGAGGTCAAATGTGTCTGTCACACTCAGCCGTCGTGGAGCTCACAGCCAAAAACGTGTGCCGTGGGAGCGAGAGCAGTGTGTCGCAGCTAGAGATAGGGCCACGTACACATGCACGGCGGCACACACAGCGGCACGGGTGGGTAGTTGGGTGGTCAGTGGCCCATCCTCCAACAAGGAATATGGAAGTTGGGGGTGGGGTGTGGAGCGCCACCCTGCGCTTTTTGAAGGCCTTTCCTGTCTACGTTTGTGCTCTTGGCTGCATTCAGAAGAGGTGCTTGTTCAGGTAGTTCTTTGTTACCAGCATAGTGCTTAGAAGTAAGTGTCCCCTACCACCGTCCTGACTCCTTGTACATCAAAGGATCTTCCTGTAATTTATGCTGTCCCTTCAGTATGTGCTAGGTCATTCTGGCTGCTGCTGAGTGGTTTCATTTTATTTTTTTATGATGGAACTCTGAAGCAGCTGGTAAATAAATAGCCTTAATGGAAAAGTTGTGAGGTACAACTCTTAATTCACTTTCAAAGGAAGCAAAGTGGCCTTGTTCCAGAAGAGGGATTTGGCCCGTCTGCTAGAGAGAAATACTAGAGAGCATTATGTGTATTGATTGATGATTCTTCCAAAAGCTCCCCTGTCTCGCACTGCTGGCCTGCCCCCGGAACGTAGTAGGAGGTACTCAAGATGCTTCAGGCTGTAGTTACGCAGTTACAGTGAATGGGTCACTTGTAGTCTCCAAGAATTTGACAGCTTTCGTGTCCTCAACAAAACAGCGCACTTACATCCAGAGTAACCCATCTTCTTTTAAAATTAGGAAACTCTTTAATACAATAGTTTTAGCGGTGTTGACCGTACTCAGCTGGGGATGATCTGTCCTGCTAGAAGCTCTTTGCGTGTCTCCGGCTGTGTGAAGGACAGTGGGTGGGAGCCGAATTCTTCCAGAGACTGCCTGGCTTACAGAGCAAAGCTGTCTGGTTTCTGCTGTACCCACCTGGTGTGTCCTGTGTGTGCCCTTGAGCTAGAACTCCTTCGGAACAGTTGGCTTTTACCTCTGGGTTTGAGCTGACTCCGTGGCTTGATGGGTTTGCTCATTTCCCTCTTGAATTGTGCTGCGAACCCAGTGCATAGTCACGTGAGGCAGGCGGCTGTCTTCTCTTGAGCTCCGGTTAACTAGTGAGGAGTCTGGTAGCTTCTCCATGGCCGCCTTCCTGCCACCAAAAGCACACCTCAGCCAAGAGAACGGCACCATGCGTCAGGGTTTGTGGGAAAGAATAATGTTCAGTTGTGTGGCCTGTATTCAGCTTTGTTTATACAGTAGATTCAAGGCAAGCTGCAGACAGGGAGCACTTAGTGTTCAGATTGAAACCAAATGTGATGGGCCATGAGGCAAAATCTTGTGGAAGTATTTGCGTGTTTTCATCCGTGTAAATACAAAGTGCTACTTGGTAGGAAGCTGGCCTGAGGGTTAAGGAGAGGCAGCTGGTCCCAGGCCTCTGTTGATAGCTGTCCACGTGGGACCTGGACCTGAGGTGAAGAGACAGAGGTAGTCCCTGAGATCACCAGCCATTCCTGTAATTCAGCCTCCTGAAGAGAAGTGTAAAGAAGAAGGAGTTCTTTAAAAAAAATTTTTAACCAAAGACTTAAAAATAAGTCAGTTATGATTAGAGATTGTAAAGGATTTTTTTTTAGAATTGGATTAATTTGAAGTGTTACCTATCACATCAAAAGGAATGACATGGACTTTTTTTTTTTCCCTTCCTTAAAGGCAGGGCTCAAAGACTTTTTTTTTTTTTTTTTTGTATCTTGGGTAGTCTAGAATTTGGCCAATTGATTTTACTATTTTTTAAAAACATTTGTGTGTTTGTGTGTGTATGGGTGTTTTGCCTGCATGTAGGTATGTGCACCGTGTGTGTGTGCCTAGTGTCCATGGAAGCCATAAAAGGGCTTTGGGATCCCCTGGAACAGGAGTTACAGACAGTTGTGAGCTGCCATGTGTGTGCTGGGATCAGATATCAAGCGCAGCGTGTGCATGCATGCATGGGTTCCCACACGCCTCGTGCACGGCTTAGTCACAGAGGTGTTAGCCGTGGGTTTGCTGCAGTGTGACATTGTTTGACCTCTGATTTTTGTCGGCCCAGGATGGTTTTTAGCATTGTAGGTGGTAGCTGTGTAGACGATGTGAGCCTGGCTCTAGATGCTCATGTCTGGGAGCCTGTGGAAGAGGACAGAATTGCATCATCACTTGGAAGGGAGTGCCTGAGCTCATAGCTGAGCAGCCGAGGCCTCGCTGTTCCTGGTCTCAGGTATCTTGGCGGCTTCAAAAATGCCCTAAGAAGCAGAGATCGTTGCAGCTGGCGCTTGCTGCCGCCATGCAGCTTAGAGCTCGGCCTAGTCATGGGTGTTTATCGTTTGAAACAGCCTTGCCTCATAGCCCCAGTCTGACAGTATTTTACGGTCCCTTGCCTCTGCCACGTGAGGTCTGGGATTCTTGCGTGTGCCCCATGCCAGCTCTTAGCTATGGTGGAAGTGGAGAATCAGCCATGTGCAGTGTGGCGTTGCTCAGGCTGCCGTGCCGCAGACTTTGGAGCCAACGCTGGTGGCTGGAAAAGCTGAAAACAGAGCCACTTGAAATCTGCCCATCTCCTGTCTCCACATGACGCTGGGGTTGTCTCTCCCCTCCAACCCCTGGTTCTTTGATGTGAATGTCTTTTACAGTCATATATTTTTTTTAGTCTTTTCAGTTGTCACAAAATTACAAAGTGAATGTCGTGCTCTGAGGGACCAGGGAGAGGGGAAACAGAAGCCTTTTGAAACTCAATGTGTCTTTGTGTTCGTTGGGACCAAAGCCCTGGCTGGCTCTGAAGTGAGTTACAGTCTGTGACTGTGATGGGGGCCCTCGGCCTGAACCACGGTGGTTGCTTTCACCGTGAGGCATGTTGGGCGAAGGAGCTAGCGTCCCAGGCCTCAGGCATGAACCAAGGATTAGGTTTCAAGTTGTGTTTCTACAGGGAGCCTGGAGGGATGGGGTGGTCTTGTAGCCACAGTACGAAGTTTCCCTCTGTGTAAGGTCTCTAGAGAAGCTTGAGGCTCTTAGTGGATTAACCTGCTGAAGGCCACTGAAAATCCTGCCTGAGGAAATTACTCCCTTTCTTCTCTTGTTTAATTTTTTTGAGACAGGGCCTCTTGTAGCCCAGGCTAACCCCAAATTGTCTGTGTAGCCGATCCTTGCTCAAACTCTTGAACCTCCGATCTCTTGTCACCTAAGGGCTAGGGTTCCTGGCATACACTACAGTATCAGCGTAGCCGAATCTTCCAAATGTGGAAGATGTACATAGCTTTTGACCACGAGCAGAACAGTTACTTGAATGTGCGCAGTATGTGATTAGGCAGTGGATGCACTCCAGTAAGATGCAGAAACAGGGTTTGCTCCCTGGGAGGGACCGTGGGTGGAGCATTTGCTTGACTGTTCTTGGAGGCTGTGTAAAAGGAGACTGGACATCTCCGAGTCAGGCTTTCAACCTTTGGTGCTTATGGAATGAAAGAGTGGAGAGTGATATTGGACTGGGTGGTTTGTGTGTCAGTTGGACACAAGCTAGAGTCATCAGAGGAGGAAGCTTCAGCTGAGGAAATGCCTCCATGAGATCCAGCTGTAAGGCATTTTCTCATTTAGTGATCAATGGGGAGGGCCCAGCCCATGGTGGGTGGTGCCATCCCTGGGCTGCTGGTCCTGGGTTCTGTAAGAAGGTTGAGCAAGTCATGAGGAGCAAGCCAGTAAGCAGGTCCCGTCCCCGTCCCCCCC